AGCCCCTGGTGGTGGCGGGTTTGTCCCGCCTGTAGACCTTAGCAACGTGGTAGCGCTTCATGTTGGCGATCTTGTTCATCGCCAGATAGCGAGCAAAGGGCACCTGGGGGGCCGAGGAGTTAAGGACAGGAACGTGGAGATCCCCTGAGCTGCGGAAAGCTGCACCTCAACGCGCCCCATCCCCCTTTTGCTTTGCCAGCTCCTCCCCAACCTCTAGGGAGATCAGCCCGGGCTGATGACGAGCATGACGAACCAGGCCGAGCTCCATCAAGCAGGACAACTCCAGCTCTGCCTCCTGAACCACGGGACGTCAATGCCTCGCAAACACAGACCTTTGCTAGGTCGTTTCGCCCTCTTACGGTGCGATCAGAGAGAGGTCGACATGCGGCACAGACGCAAACGTGAGAGCTTTTTAGTGAGATGTGGAGGTGGAGAAGGCCCTGGGACAGCTGCCTGCTTTGTACCCGCAGCAAACAGCACTGCGCTGTCAGAACAACGGCTGCAGTGCCGGGACGGGCAGGACGGGAGCCAGGAGGAGGTAAAACCAGTATGGAGGAGCGCACTGGTGCACGTCCGCAGCCCGGCGGGCAGGAAGGGCCGCTTTGCTGCCGATCCTGGACCAGCTGCGGGGTGGTTTGAGGTGTGTGGGGGGGTCACGCTGATGACAACTGGACCAGCTGGGGTGTCTACTGGCCAGGAAGGGGCTTTCCATCACCCCGATGGCCCCTGGAGGTGGGGCAGGGCACGGGTGACCCAAGAAGGTGGCAGCAAGCTCGGGGGCAACGAGAGCCACGCGGGACGAGCGCAGGATACGGTGAGGTCGTAGCGCAGGGCCAGCAGTTCCCCTCCCTGGTCCTGCAGCTCGTAGATGAGCTTCGCCTCCTCCCCGTACTTCCCTGTCAGCGTCTCCTGGGGAGAGGCGAGGGGGCTGGCAGGGCGCCTCTAGGGTGCAGGGTCCCCCGGGATGGGGGGCAGAGCACGGAGCTTGGCCCCCCCTCCCCAAGCCCCACAGTTGCGCAGCCCCACAAGTGGAGAGTGTGGGGAGGGGAACGGACACGTGTGCCCCCCTGGTCCCCTTGACCTGGGGCGGAAGCGGGATCCAGGGCCCCGTTCCCCCCCAAGGGACAGCCACGGCTGTGCCCCCGCCGGGGGGGGTCCTCACCCCTGCCCCACCCCGCCCCTCGGCCC